TAGCAGTAAGACACTAGATAAAGCAGCATTAATAAAAATGCTATTTAAAAAGAAAACACTTTATAGAAGCTAGCTACTACCTTTACTATTAACTTAAAAGCAACTAAAAGAGCACCCTCTACATAAGATGTTTAAGGCAGCAGAAAGAACGCACCTAGACAGTTAGTAGATAATAAAATCTTAGATAGAGGTCTAGATAAAGCTAATTAAGGCAGCTAGACTGCAGATCCTAGATTGTATGTAGGTGTACACCTATAAGCTTAATAAGCACTATAGATTGCAAAGATGTAAAGTGTAACTAGTAGTCTACAGCAACTAATAAAGAAACATTACTACACAAGATACCTACACTGCCACCCTAGCAAGACGCTTATTTTAAATGCTAATAGTAATATCTGCACGCTTTAATTTAGAGCTTAAATAATATAATATAACTAACACATTTATACATGCAGTAATTAACTGCGATATCTACATGCAGATGCTAAGAGGCTATTAGAAACTAGGTACAATACTAAAGCTTTAAAAAGCACTATACAGCCTGTAAATTTCTTCTCTACTCTAGCAACACTATTTTATAATAACCTTTAAAAGCCTTAGGTTCTTAGCTGTCCTACATAAACCCTACTATATAACTAAAGCTAGAATATTTATTTTCTTTTACGTAGACAACCTTATTATTGTGTACAGAAAAGGCTCTAAAGCAGATGCACAGCGTGTAGTAGACTAGTTACAAGAGAAGTATACCCTAACAGGAGGCAAGGACCTATAATAGTTTCTAGGAGTTAAGATTATTAAAGATTAATAGCAACAAATAATTTAGCTGTTACAGGCCTTATATATTAACAAGATAGCTAGGCTAGCTAACAGAAAGGACCTGCAGCACGCTACACCTATAAGTAGGATTAAACTTATGCTGCAATCTAGTTTTGCAACCTTATTAGAAGTAAATTAATATTAGCAGAAGATTAGATCTCTGCTCTTCGCAGCAGTTACTATAAGACTAGACATTGCCTTTGCCACATCACGCCTTGCACAGTTTCTCACAAATCCCGCATCTGACCATCAGGATGCAGCTGATCGAGTCATCCTGTACCTACATGCGACACGGACGTACGCCCTCTAATTAGGAGGAGAAGACTACCTTATAGTAGCAAGCAATGCGTCATTTATAGACAATACACTAGATAGGAAGAGCTCTTAGGGCTATGTTATTTAACTATTTAGCAGATAAATTGCATAGTAAGTAAACAAACAAGATATAGTCACAATGTTAATAACAGAAGCAGAATTACTTGCACTGTCCTAAGTTGCTAAGGAAGCTATGTTTATAAGAATGCTTCTTAACAAACTACAGGTTAAGCTGCCTAAGTTAACTATTACAATCTAGTGCAACAACAAGCAGACAATCCGACTGGTAAACAAAGAGATATCTCGACTTCAAACCAAGCTCCGACATGTCAACATCCATAACCACTGGCTCCGACAGGAAGTCTCTCGACAAACGATCAAGGTTGTCTATGTCCCCTCCAGCGAGATGCTTGCGGACGGACTCACCAAAGCGCTTCCAGCCAGCAAATGGCCAAGCTTTCTTCAGCAAATTCGGCTAGTTGACGTCAGGGAGAGGATAGTCAGTCAGGAAGCGGATATGGAAGAGATTGAAGCAAGAATGGAAGCCCTGGAAGCATACTAAGGTTGCGCAATTTGGGACCAGCTTGAAGCATGTCCAAGCTGAGGGGGTGTGTCAGATATGCGCACCTACTGTCAAGACAGGAGGAATGCTTGACGAAAGCTGCCACATAGTACGAGCAATAGGCTCGAACAGTATGTTGCTGCAAATTGCAGCATTTTGCAGTATGTTGCAGCAAATTGCAGCATTTTGCAGTATGTTGCAGCAAATTGCAGCATTTTGCAGCACATTGCAGCATTTTGCAGCAAATTGCAGCATTTTGCAGCATGTTGCAGCAAATTACAGCATTTTGCAGCAAATTACAGCATTTTGCAGCAAATTACAGCATTTTGCAGCAAATTACAGCATTTTGCAGCAAATTGCAGCATTTTGCAGCATGTTGCAGCAGTTTGCAGCAAATTGCAGCAAATTGCAGCATTTTGCAAGCTGGTCGCGCATGGGGCAAGTGCGCGAGGGACTCGGATCGGCAAAACAAAAAGCCGAGCAACACAAGTAGAGCAGAAAAAGGATCATCCCAAAAACACAATCAATCAATCATCCATACATCACATCCAAACCCATCATTCATCTCAGGAAGCCTAGAAACAGTGCTTCAATCTGACAGCTTTGTTGTTACTCTTCCTAAGAGATAGGTAATAAAACAAAGTGCCTTACAGGGCGTAGGGTTAATTGCTTGTGCAGTGGATCGCGCGGGTACTGCTGTTGTCTAGCTGCTAGGTCGTGCAGCTTTAATGGCTTTAGTGTGCGTCTCGCACTATCTCCTCTTTGCTTTGTACAGTAGCAGAGCTTGCTGTACAATGCAAAGGATTAATCTGCTATCCTAAGGGATAGGTAACTAAACAAAGTACCTTGCAAGGCGTGGGTACTCTGCTGTCACTCTTCCTAAGGGATAGGTAACAAAACAAAGTACCTTACAGGGCGTAGGTACTCTATTGTCACTTTTGCTAATTTGCAGTTAATTAAATTAACCACTAATTAGTGTTAAATAGGCTCTAACAGCTAGCTGCTTATAGTATAAGCACTTAAGTAGCAAGAGTAAGAGTGGTGTACAGTATGCACAGCGTACAAGGTAGGTAAGGTGAGGGCAACATGTTTCTAGTTCTATTGCTCTTGTCTTTCCTCTGTACAAAGGAAAAGGGGGATATCTAGATGTTCGCGCACAGAGGTTCGCGCACGAGCATCATGTGACATAGATACGTGATCCTGCTCGTGCGCGATCGTTCGTATCCAGGCCGCGACGCTGCTGCTGCGTACGGACAGGCAAAGACCTATAATAGTTCTTAGGAGTTAAGATTATTAAAGATTAATAGTAACAAATAATTTAGCTATTATAGGCCTTATATATTAATAAGATAGCTAGGCTAGCTAACAGAAAGGACCTACAGCATGCTACACCTATAAGTAGGATTAAACTTATCCTATAATCTAGTTTTATAACTCTATTAGAGGTAAATTAATATTAGTAGAAGATTAGATCTCTGCTCTTTGCAGCAGTTACTATAAGACTAGACATTGCCTTTACTACATCACGCCTTACACAGTTTCTCACAAATCCCGCATCTAACTATTAGGATGCAGCTAATTAAGTTATCCTGTACCTACATGTGATACAGACGTACGCACTTTAATTAAAAGGAGAAGACTACCTTATAGTAGCAAGCAATACATTATTTATAGATAATACACTAGATAAAAAAAGCTTTTAAGGCTATATTATTTAACTATTTAGCAGATAAATTATATAGTAAGTAAATAAATAAGATAGAGTTATAATGTTAATAATAGAAGCAGAATTACTTACACTGTTCTAAGTTGCTAAGAAAGCTATGTTTATAAGAATGCTTTTTAATAAACTATAAGTTAAGCTGCCTAATTTAACTATTATAATTTAGTGCAACAACAAGCAGACAATCTAACTAGTAAACAAAGAGATATCTTAACTTTAAACTAAGCTCTAACATGTTAACATCTATAACTACTAGCTCTAACAGGAAGTTTCTTAACAAACAATTAAGGTTGTCTATGTCCCCTTTAGTAAGATGCTTACAGACAGACTCACTAAAGCGCTTCTAGCTAGCAAATAGCTAAGCTTTCTTTAGCAAATTCAGCTAGTTGACGTCAGGGAGAGGATAGTTAGTTAGAAAGCAGATATAGAAGAGATTAAAGCAAGAATAGAAGCCCTAGAAGCATACTAAGGTTGCGCAATTAGGAACCAGCTTAAAGCATGTCTAAGCTGAGGGGGTGTGTCAGATATGCGCACCTACTGTCAAGACAGGAGGAACGCTTAACAAAAGCTGCTACATAGTATGAGCAATAAGCTTGAACAGTATGTTGCAGCAAATTGCAGCATTTTGCAGCATTTTGCAGCATGTTGCAGCATTTTACAGCATGTTGCAGCAAATTGCAGCATGTTGCAAGCTGGTCGCGCATAGAGCAAGTGCGCGAGGGACTCAGATCAGCAAAACAAAAAGCCGAGCAACACAAGTAGAGCAGAAAAAGGATTAATAAATTAACACAATTAATACAATCAATTAATCATCCCATACATCATATCCAAACCCATCATTCATCTCAGGAAGCCTAGAAACAGTGCTTCAATCTGACAACATAAGAGCAATCACAATGTCCCTAGCCTACTATCTAGCTTAACAACTAGCAGCCTAGATCTTCTAACATTTTGCAGGCTCCCTAATAGAGCTAGTCTAAGACAGCTTCTAGATCCTTAGAGTTCTTAGACAACAGCTAGTTAAGCTGCAGACATAAGAGCAATTATAATATCCCTAGCCTACTATCTAGCTTAACAACTAGCAGCCTAGATCTTCTAA